GAAGCCGAGTTCCTGAGGGAGGTGAGAAGTATGCTTCATTACCCCGTGCCTGCCGCAGATGACATCCACACACAAGAGCTCAGGTTTAAATGAAATTCTCTTGCCTCTCAGTTTAGAAGTGTTCACCTCACCATCATGGAGTTCATTTTAAAGTCAAGTGACTAAGATGGACAACAGAGAATAAATCGGCTAACCCAGATGTTGGTACAGGAACTGGCTGAGGTGTGGGCTCACAGGAGAGGACAGGGCAGCAGAGCGGCTGGGAGGGAACAGGCTTGTGCCTCCGGAAAACTGTTCTTTCCAAATCAGGTGATGTCTGCACCCATTAAGAGTCAATTGCCCTCCCCTGGTTGGAATTGATTGCCATAGACATAAACGCGTGGGGTTACTGGAATACCTGGGAAAGAAGCCTGAAGGTAATTAGACTTGAGTAGACCAAACGTGCACAGCCCAAAGAACTAGACAGTCTGTGACTGTTGGCACCCTGACCTGAGGCCCACACACCAGCACCTGGAAATGTCCATGTTCTTTTGTGATGTCCCAACCCTTCCAGGGTCAGCTCAGACACTTCCCCAGCAGATGTTGGTGCTTCTCACACCAGGTGGGATCCTCCTCTGCTCTCCCAGAAGCCTCACGGCTTCTGTGTCTCGACTCTGGCCCCACTGGTTGTTAGGCCCTGCGTGTCTGTCTTCTCCATTCCAGTATGTCAACTCTTGGACATGAACGGCCTGAAAACGAGAGAGGAAAGGAGAAGAGAAGAAGTACCCATGAAGCCAGCTCTCATCTCAGCTCCTCCTCGCTCTGCTCCCTCTGGAAACCCAGGCTGAGGGACCTCAGGCTCCATCCTACCAGCTCCAGGGTTTGGCTTGAGACCAGATTTCTCTGGTCATGAATCACTCATCATCCCCAAATAACTCTGGCTAACTGCCCTGCTTCTTACCAAGCTCAGGGGTCCTGAGTTGCATGGAAGTTGTCCCCAGCCCCGAGTGTTCCATGTGCCAGCACTCAACGAGGTAACCCGAGAGCTGTCCCAGGGTCAGCATGCACTCTGGGAAGGTACTGAAGTCCCAGAAGTAGACAAAGCCCACCAAGGAGACAAACCCTGAACTGGCACCTGAACCGTTTCCAAGGACGGCAGAAGAGAGCGATAACCAGGTAACCAGGCAGGTGCCATGAGTGAAGGGTTCCAGCAGTGAGTTGGTGCTGCCACCGTCCCTTCCCCCTCCCTTTCCCCTTCTCTTCCTCCTCTTCCACATAGATCCCAGGCCAGTCTTCAATCCATTGTGTAGACAGGGCTTGTAATCTTCCTGCTCCATCTCCCAAGTGCGGGGATTGCAGTCACGTGCCCACCACACCAGGTTGATGGTGCTGCGGATGGATCCCAGGGCTCTGTGCATGCTACACAAGCACTCTACCAACTGAGCAAGGGCCTCAGGTGCCCCAGCTGGTTCTTTAAGGAGCCCTTACAAGGCACTGAACTAGGGCACGTCAGGGACTCACGCTGAATCCTGGAGATGTAACCAAGCAAGGAGGGTGCCAGGACATCTGGAAGAAGGATTTTAGGGACTTGGCTAAATTCCAGAACATGCTAACATTCTGACACACTAATGCTCCAGAGCTACACATGTTCTTACTTTGCCATTCCATTTCAGGGGACCTTCTGCCCCCCCCCACACACACACACACTCCACCCCATCAGCCAACACTACAACTAGACCATCCTTCACTACAAGTATTTCTTCTTCTCTTCATTCCTTATATCAATAACTCTAATAGTTTGAGGAATGTAAACCTTGAAGAAAATGTGCAAACTGATCAAATGGATGGTCCCTTCTCCTTGGGGAAAAATATACATGTAAATTTTATATATCACTCCATCTAGTCAATGATTCTTGGCAGAGTCCACAGACTCTAAAGTTAAGAGCTTTTTAATTTTGCCTACCTTGATCCAGAGGACATTTAAAATAAATCAAGAGCATCAGGTTTAAGACAGGTCAAGAGGAGACTAGATAAAAACAAGGTAGGAACAGAGCGGAGCCTTCAGTGATACCAAGAGCGAACCAAGTGTGTGTCACACATTCAGCTCTGAGGACTCCAGCAGTCAAGAGAGAAAGGGAAACATCACTTACACAGGTCATGGCGTTCATGGGATAAAAACAAACCACTTCTTCCTCAGAAGATGCACAGCCAGTCTCGGTACGGTAGATGGATGAGATTCCCTCATAAAGGATAACAAAGGACAGGTCTCAGCAGAGCCCTGCCACAGACTCGGATGCCTTCCCTCTGTGGCAGGGTGACCCATGTCTCCTCTTTTGCCTGGAACTCTCTTGCTTTTAGTGCAGTTCACGTTGTAGGCAAGCTGAGAGGGTTGGTTCACGTCTGAGTTACAATTCAGTTAGGGCTTGTGTGGGAGCCGGCGAGATGGCTTATCAGATAAAGGCGCTTGCTTTTCACCTGAGTTTCATCTCGAGGACCCCCACGGTGGAAGGAGAGAATGTAATCCCACAAATGGCCTTTGACCTCCTCAAGCATACCACAGCATTACATGGTTTTTTTAATATTTTTATTTTATGTGTACAGGCATTTTTGCCTGCATATATGTTTGTGCACCACTTGCATGTCCGAGGCCCATGGAGGAGGCCAGAAGAGGCTTCAGATCCCCTGGAACTGGAGTCACAGACAGTTGTGAGCTGCAATGTAAGTGTTGGGAATTGGTCCCAGGTCCTCTGGAAGAGTAGCCAGTGTGCTTAACTCAGGAGTCATCTCTACAGCACACACACACACACACACACACACACACACACACAGACACACACACACACAGACACACACA